GCTGCTAATCCCATCCAAACATTTCGACGAGCATCGGCAGGGACAAGTCGTGCTTTCGAAGCAGTTTTCATGCGGTTAGTAATAATTTTATTCCATTCTGGACTTTACGAATAATACTCACAAACGTGTTATTAAAATTAGGTAATCAATTCTGTTCTGGATGCATGACTTAAAGCTTCAATATTCAATACTACAGTTGGGGCCTCATTATTATGCAAATACTTTAGGCCACGATATTCAATACATTATGTTGGGCCTAAATTTTCTTAAACAAGACTTCAATACTAAATTTTTTTTCTCAGTGAAGAACTTGGTATAAGAATTGTGGACGCTGATTGGAATGTCACATTACTATTACAACTATTACCCCACCATTACATTACTATTTTGCTGCTGTACGGCCCAGTTTGCAGCCTAGCCTGTAAATGAGAACATTTTCCGAAAAATATATAAATAACTCATAGACATTATTGAGGCAGAAGGAACCATGGTGCACTTTAGGATATATTGTGAATTAGATGTACTTTGAATATCATAGTACAGGTACGTTTTCTCAGCGCGTTGCAAGACGCTAAATGAGGAGAAACCCAAAGAGTGCGCTCTCAAAATTATAGTATAGCTATGGTTCCTTATGGTCAACGGAAATTATCCCGATATAACCTTGTGTTTGATAACGTAGCACCGGATGCAAAAAGAGCATCTATATAACCCGTTGAGCAGATCCCACAGATTATGAACAATATACCGTCGTGGGCGTAGACTTGCTACAGGGCAGCGAGCTTTACGATGAGCTAAACACTTGAGCGACGCCAACATGTAACCATAAATGGGCATCGCGTGGTGCCTTCGAATTTCTTCTCATTGAGGATGCAATATGTTACTAGTCATCAGACGACCATATAAGGCTTGCTTGGCGAGTCTACACGCTGACACGTACAAATTACACCCTCGCAACATTCACATTTACTATCCTTGAAGCAATGAAATTCTTAAGCGAGCTTGCAAAGTTCCTACTCCGGAGTGAAAGAAGAGGAGAATGGTCAATTGCTAGGAACGTGTCATGGGAAGAACTCGAGTGCAAATAATAATTTCGGCCAAATAAGGGGACACTCCTACGCGCTCCTCACGAGACTCTTGCGAAAATGAAAATGACTTTTTGGGAACGAAGGAAATTTTTTTCGAGTTGGGACCAGATTTCGTTGCTAAAATGAAATGGTTGTACACTAAAAAAAATATAACTCAGTACTCACTGCAGTGAGTGACAGAGAGAGCATTTTCTCATCGGCGAAAACGTGAAGTCACGGACGGACGGACAGACAGACGGACGGACAGACGGACATGGCGAGCACAATATAGTGCATTTTTTCCATAAATAAGAAAATGCGCTAAAAATACCCCAATTGTGAAAACAACATCTTTTACGTCGTTTGCAATGTTAAAAAGCGAAAGAAGATTATCTCTTGTAAAAGTATTATTATAGAGCTACGGATTAAAAAGCCAACAGATGGTTCTGGTGATATCGAATGAAAATTGAAATTTGAGGGAGAAGTAAGAATATTTCTGGAATATGCAAGCAGGCACAAGATGACAATGTTTATCAAACCTAGCGGTGGATGTCCCGAACATGTAATGCAGCAGGTCTTTGAAGAGTGACAGACAGCCCATGACACGAAAAAACTCTAGCCACTCTTTATTTACTTGAATGATTTTGGCAGCGATCGAAGGCGTAGACTGAAACCGAATAGAATCTCTCCGCAGCGAAATCGATTTTCAATCGGCATCTTTAAAAGAAAGAGTCCGAGTGAATAAAAAAGCAGAGTTTTGGATAGGGATTTGTTGTATCGAGTTACTTGGGGAGCGCCATCTCCCGCTTTGTTTTGGCAGAAGGCTTGGGGAGAGCTGACATGTTGACAAGGTGTGGAAACTGGCGTGTCGTGCTGCAGTCAGTTGCAAAAGCGCAACATTTCACAATTCCTGCATAAATATAAGCGAGAAGAAGCGATTGAGAAAGACTGAGAGGAAGTGTGGATTTTGGAAGCTAAGTAGAACTTCACTGGCAATTAAGAGACTGATCTGGAAGAAATAATGAAATGGATTACGGCAATAATTGATATGTGCAACGAAACACATGGTATTAAATATGGCAACAATTAAGGGTACTGATCAGTAAGGGGAATTTGCGAAATCTGATAGCGACTCATGAAAACGTCAAGATAACAAGAGTTCTGGCTATTCTTGGTAAACGAGAATGATCTCCTGTGAAATGTATTATCATAGAGTCATGAATTGATAGGCCAACAGTTAGACGTTAAACTCAAGGGTTATTAAAACATGTAAGTTCCATAATAAATGTTCTACTTCAAACAAATTAAACCTAAAACGATTCTATAGAGTTGCTCCGGCTTAACCTATCTAAGGGAATCAAAGTTTAATCAGGAAAATCGATCGTCTTTTATAGGGATTCCTTGACAAGCTGTCCGACACCAAGGGTGCCAATGAGGGAGTCGCCGTTGATCGTAAAAAATGCGTCTATTTTGAGGAGCTTGTCATCGATGAGCGAGACCGATAGAAATGAGCCGGAACTTGGCGGCTACGAGGAGAAATATCACGTGTCTTGACTTGACTAGAGTTGGACTCAACGAATCGTGAAGGTAGGAAAGAAAAAATATAACTCAGTACTCACGGCAGTGAGTGACAGAGAGCTCATTTTCTCGTCGACGAAAACGTGAATTCACGGACAGACGGACGGTCAGACAGACAGACACAGACGGACATGACGAGCACAATAGAGCATTTTTTCAATAAATGAGAAAAAAGTCTCAAATCAAAAGAAAAAAATTAAAAAAAAGTGTAAATTAGAATAGGAATAACGTAAAAAGTCTCTGAAATTAGGAAATATAAGAATGAAATAGTAACTACGGCATTTAATAAAATAAACTTATATCACGAGAAGACAAAGATTCGGAATATAAGATGAATCAGGTATGAATGGAGATGACAAATCTCTACTTCAAAACGAAAGAACATACCCCACAACACGGTTTCGATAGCTAGACAAGTGTGAACGAACAGAACAGGAATCAAATTTATAATCATTTATGAAGAAGTTGAATTAAAAAAATTCTGATACCAGCTCACATTTCTAGGCAAAGCAGATATTGCTTACATATTCGATTATTTACTACTGTATTTGCTTGAGTTCTAACTAAACTCGCGTTTTATCAGTATCAATAGTTTCATTTAAAAGGAAGTTATCCACAGAACAGAATTGCAGATTTAAAATGAATGGAGTGATAATGACTTATTAGCCATAAAATACTGAAAGCATAGCACCGATCAGTTTGCCACATGTTATAAAATAGAACGCATGTTCACATGAAAGACTTGTTAAGATCAAAACAAGAAGTTACTCCCGCTTCTTATTCGCTCTGATTCTCATTATACGAGACAAATAACGGTTCCTGAGCACAACTGTTTTATGTTGTGAGTTCAATCAACGTTCGTAATGCGAAACTTGGTCATTTCATCGGCAATATTAAGTATAGTGTAGTACGTCAGTATTATAATTTCGTAGTGATAACAAATATTGATCGTGTGTTTTTCGTATATCAACAATATCGATCATGAAACTGAGAATTAAATTAGAACGGCGAATGTAATTCGAGAAGAGAAGGCAGAGGGGCGGCGTGGCAAAAGATCAGTGCGCATGAAGCGACGCCGTGCAGGTCTCGTCAAATAAACAATTCAAAGCGCACGGTGCGCGCGACAGCGGCCCTGAGGGGTAAAAAATCGTGAGCCAAGGGCGGCAGACGAACCGAGAACCGGGGTTCAAAATAAAGCGAGTTCGTGAATACAAACATTTCTCGTAGATTCTCAGAACATTTATTGACAAAGAAATATTTCCCCAGATTTTTTCCAACTGAGAATATCAGACTATAAAATCATCAAAAGATTTATTGCCATTGAAATCAAACGGTCCCACTCGACTTGCCCTGAATCAAACGGTCCCACTCTCCTGAACTGAGGTTGATGGAGAGCTGAGTCAAAGGAGTCTATATAAACTCACTTTAATTGACCATTTTACATTCGCTAGATGCAGATTCCGTTCGATTCTGAGACTGATAAATTCATTTACGTAATCGCTACAACACAGATCATCAACGCGAACTACACCCCGTGACTCTGCTACGAAAATCAGGATAAATTTAAACTTTAGAGCTACACAGTAACGAATCTTACGGCAAAAGGCTTCCAACAATCGAAGCACAATCTCAAACAAGCTAACAGAGACTGACGCGTCAATGGAGTTCGTTGAAGCGAAATGCACCAAAACAGCCGTTTGGAAATGGCAATTCAATTTTGACGAAATCGGACGAGCGAGTCCATCGCCTGATCCGACGGCCGAGATGCAACTTCGGAAGCATCCACGAGAAATGCAAGAAGTTAATTCGATGGCGTTGTGAAAAATGCGCAAATCTGAGACGGTAACAATCATATTACATTTGGGGGTCGTTCTTTACGCTCTTGAAGTTTCTATTATTGTCCATTGCCATTTCATTATTCCTAATTAGGATTCCCTCATACATTGAATAAAACAGAAATTGAATTTTTGGGATAATGAAGGCATTTATCGAATAATTTACATTTTGCATTTGATTACTGTCAAAAGTTTGAAGTTGATAAAAAATGATAATTGATTAAAGTGATATGTAGAGGCCTTCTTGCCTAAAGGCATATAAAATTTCACGTTAAGATATAGTTGCGTTTTAACTAATTTTATCGTGAACCAATTTCGAAATCTAGCTTTTTAAAAGTGGAATCCCTTTTTTATGAAGTAAAAAAATCCACCGAACGGTTCGTAAAATAAAAAAAATCAAATTTTGGAGGTGAAATGATCGAGTCAGAGCAACATGTGAGACAATTAGAAATGCCACGACAATAGACTGGAAGGATCTTACAAGAAATTATTTTTGTACAAGATTTGTGGTTGATGGACGTACCTGATCCAAGAACTGCATAACGGGCAGCGCCGATGACGACAACATTTGGGAGGCGATGGAGGATGGCAACTGCGCCAAGTGCGGGAAGGTATGATGTTGTTGCTGGTGCGCGACTGCGGCGGCAGCAACTGCTACTGCAGGTGAAGTAGGTAGCACAGAGTAGGGAGAAGAAACGTATGTTTGAGGAGAGAATGAAGCAGCGCCAGGGATGGAAGTGAAGGCAGAAGCGCTGGGGTGAAGAGCGGAGAAGAAAGTAGGAGCACCGCAGTAGACTTCAGAGAGCGGTCTCTTCATCACGAGACGCGGGCTGCAAGCCAACTCTGCGAGTATCAGTTACACGGAAATGAAAAGAAAGAATATCGCTAATCGAGGAAGTAAGGAAAATTGCTAATGAGTACACCAAAGCAATAGCAAGTACGAGCCAACAGTGGTAGCTCTCAAATCCCGAGAAAATTAAAAAAATTCTAGGTAGTAAAAAATACCATAGAAGTCAAGAAGACATGAATAAATGAGAGTTCAGGAGAATAGTGGATTGGAAATAAGGGATTTAGAATAATTGCGAGGACTCACTTATTGGAATAAGTTGACCGTTGAACAGTGAAAGAGAGAAGCACCGTTGTTTATATTTTTCACGATTTTTATGTAATGCGCTAGGAAATTCGCTAGATTCGTTTTTCATAAGCGGATCTTGGGAACACTTTGAGAACTTTCCGTTATCTGTTGAAAGCACCTTTGCACTTTAAAAGAAGTATTTAATAAATTCACGACTCTACAAAATGAGTAAAAGGACTTTTCAAAACTCACAACTTCTTTTCTGCGCAACTTTCTTTGCGTTTTTATCTATCGGTCACGCTGATTACGAAGATTGGTCGTCTGAAAGAAAGAAACACATTTTAAGTTAATGAACATTCCCACTGCTAATAAAATTCTAACATGAGAATGTTTTGTTGAATGATACAGAATAAATTGAGAATTTAGAGGCAGAGAATTTAGATGAAAAGGATGATAGAAGAATGAAAATTTTCTAGTGGACAAAGAGAATGCGATAATTCAGCCACGTAATTATGTCTAAATAATTATTCCGTCGAATAACTTTCAACATTTTGTAATGAAACTATCGTTGAACATTGATCAAAACTAAAGGAAACAAAATTTTATTTATTGTGAACTTTTAATTTGGAAAACGTGATTATCTATTAAATATTGAGCACAACTATAAATCTTGAGATGTAGAGGCAAATAAAGTCCCCATATACACTACCAAATTTTCAATGGATGAATGATTTATTTCAAAATAAAAAAATTGTACAGCTGTTTTAAAATATATTTAAATAAATACTTTAATTTCAACATACCTATAACAATAATTTTACCTCGCAAAATAAAGTAACAATATATAAATGCTACGTTATCATCTTCCGGTAAAATCGGTCGCAATTTCTTGCAGGGAGTAGCGCGCTGCATTTGGCGTTGGTTGAAGAGGTGCCAAGTCGAGACCGTGGCTCGTAAACTTATCTCGAGCAGACCACGGCTCCATGAGGAGCAATTTGCAAGTGACATGAGTTTATCACTTGAGACAGTCGACCACGCCATTACTTTATCGCGAGGCGAACAAAAATAAACTTTTGGCAGCGAAACTTCTGCTGGGAACGATCAAATTTTTCACCAAATACACTGGCAGGCGTCGAAGAACTGAAGCTGAAATGGCCGTGTGTTGAATGTTGATGTTTATGAGCAGATTTTTCTTGCACAGAAAGTTTCTAACTACCTTTGAAATTAATCATATTTATGTTTCAATTTATTTTCATTAAATTTTTAAATGAAATGATAATTTTGTATTTATTTTTGATTAAATTTTGGAACGGGCGGTGTCACGACTAAACCCTATAAGAACATTAGACGTTGGAAAGCGTCCGTGTGCGAATTTGTGAAATTATTTTCATTAACAAGGGAACCAAGGAAGTTTAAAACTGGTTCACATATATAACCAGTACAATCAACTCGTATGTTCCAAAATTAATAATTCTACTTTTATGTTCTCAAACTTATTGGAAACGCAGAAGTTCTCAATAAATTTGAATCTTAAACTCCAGCATTACTAGCCTCGTCAAGCATTAAAAATTTGTTACAAATGTGTTAAAATATTTAATAATTAGAAAAATAAAGCCCATAAGTTAGAGTATAACTATAAAAAATTCAAATCCTATTGTTGAGAAAAGAATATTGTTTTTTAATGCATTGTATCAAAATGAACTAAAGCAGCATTATAAATTGAGTTTAAATCTAAAACTAAATATTCTTTAAAAAGAATATTTATGAACAAGGAGTCTATCGACAAAGACAAAGTTGTTCAACACTCCCACTGCACACCACAAAATTGTGAGCGATTGGTTTCCAAAGTTTACACTACTGGCTTGCATGAGGTTGGAATTTAGTATATGGGAGCTACTAAAAGCTCATCGCGTTAGCCTCTCATAACTGGATAAAAGCACAGCATTGATGCAATTACCAGGCTCCTACCAACCACATTTTGCAAGCTAATTCTCTACCCAACAAAGTTTCCATACAATGCTTGCCTTCAGAGTTACGGGAAGTTACTCGTATTTCATTTTTATATTTTCTAAGCCAACGTGAGATCGAAGAAGACAACTTAAAGTGCAAGTATAGTCAGTTAATGAAATTAAAATCGAAAAAAAAAACATTTGAACACAAATGACTCTATCCAGACAAATCCTATTATAGTTTGCAAAATAATAGTTCACGTCCTCAGCTGGTATGGAATTAGTATATTGTGTAGAATAGCACAATAGAGTGAAAGCAAGGCTCTATGTGAACAGTATATCTTAGCACTGTAAAATAGACATGATTAGAATCCTAAGGTTTACGGTTAGGAAATTGCGGTACCAATTTACAATTTATAAAAAAAATTGTTGGACCAAAGAGCTGATTGACTTCCGCACTTAAATATTTCAATACATTTTTGTTCCTGATTTGGTACATCCTATTTATTACACCACAGCTTCACATATCAATTAACGCCGGACACATTCTGTACATTAATTTAAATTTGTAAGTAAATAACGCAATTCACGTAGGTTTATCCTAATTGTAAATATGTGAGCACCTCAATAATACGAACACAAAAATAGAAAGAAATTCTTATAAAATAATTCAAGATCAGCAGTTATATGGAGTATCATGCTGCTGCGAGAGGTAGTTGTAGGTAAACATTGACATTAGTTTATTTTTGTTAGAAATTAATGCACATGCTGTGGTGAGAGCTATAAAGCCCGGAATGGCAATTTCATGTCGGCTACAGTTAGGAAATTAATGATAAACACATAAACAGAAACACCGTAATTTTGGGTGGTTCTCTGAAGCTTCGAATGTATCCCAATGGATCGCTGTGAGTATCGAGAGTGCTTCAGTTCTTCGCTTCTCATTACATCAAAGATAGGCTGCAATGCAGGCGCTCTCAGCGTTCTCATATGACAGATACAGACCGCTTTGTACTCCTGTAATTGCTCTCATTTCGAATTATGAATCATTCGGCGCCGAAAAGTGTGAATTTTTAAAAACTTCTGCACAAATTGAGCGGCAGCGAACTATAATGAGATACAGGGTACCCAGGAGTCGAAGTCCGTCCTATGCTGTACGGGGACTGCACTGTTAAAACTCTGAGCATAAACCATGTTGGGAATTCAGTAATTATGGTTTCAAAAGTTCCAGTGTCAAAACCATCAAATTACCGCCGAGTAGATTGGCAAACATACAGTTCGCGTTTTGCCTCGTCAAATGCGGAGCAAAAACTTGTTCATGAAAGAAATACCATCGGATCAAATGCCGTGATGCGTTGTTAGCAAGGGGAAAAAATGATGTTATTCATGTCAGGGAGCTGATTGAAATTGCGTTCGCTCTGATACGAAAAACTAAATAGAAATCGCTTCCAGGGTGAACACCGCTAACCGTATTATATTATAGCAATAGATTATATTTGTAACTACATGTTTATGAAATATTACAGAAATTCACTGTAAGAAATTGACTAAATGATTTTTATTGTACTATTCTTTTGAGACGTGAAAAAATGCATAGAGAAGATTCATTACCATAACGCGTGCGGAGTGATTGTGCTAGACCAGAATAACATTACATGACTAACGAGTATGTCAGAAAGCTAGTCTCGCTGAGTGATGCTAAGCACATTAAAGTGCGTAAATCGAAAGCAGGTTTTCAAACTTGTCGATTCATTTCAATTCAAGCAGGACTTGGCAAAATCGTGGGCAAACCATAAGCCTTTACAACGTCACACCGAGAATTTTTTTAACTTCGAACGTGCCATCAAAACGAATTTAAGTTTAACAAATTAAGTTTCGATATTAAGTTTTGACAGGTCAATCCAGGCCTAATTTTCAATACCGAAGATATCATACTATACTATCTAAATTGGACGTCAACGATCTTGGATGCAATTTAAGAGCTAAATACAGGCCATCAAGTAATTTTTAATGATCAAACTCAACTCTAAAATCTAATTTTAGCTTAGGATTACTGGGTAAGTTTTACACAACTCAGCACAAAATTCTTTCAAATCAGTTCCACTATTAAAATATAATATCAGTGATTATTACCAGTATGTTTATACTAGAATAATCACTAATATATATCAGTGATTATTACTAGTATAATTCATATATTTATATCACTTCCACTATCAAAATATAATACGAGTCGGTAGGTAGAGCAAAAGCCTCACAGTTATAGCTTCAAGTAAGCGATATCGCGAGTTCCAGCCCAGCAAACCCCTGGGCTTGGGTCAACAGTTCTCTGGTTTGCAGTTACACATCGCAGCCAACCGCTAAACTACCACTCTAGTCTGCATGGCAACGGTGCCATCAACCTGAAAGACCAACGAAATATCTAGCCTTAATTCTTAACGATCTTCATAGGTAGACTTCCCCTACGTGATATGCTTACATTCTACATTTGGCAAGTTTCACATCAAAATTATTTAGCATTCGCGGAAACAAACAATTGACTTCCAGGCTAAAGATACTAGCCTCTAAAACTCAAGGAGAGATTTGTTTCGTTGTGCATATAAACGAAAAAAAATCATAATTTTATACTCAGACTTACACATATTAAGGGCATCGAACAAACGGTCAAGGTTTTTTTTATCGACTGTGGTTCTCGTAGTGACATCGAAAAGCCTGACGATTTTAGGAGAACTAAATCCCTTCACTTAGCCTCTATTGCAAAGAGTGGAATGACGCTACACGGGATCGTATATTGTAAATAAATTGTACTCAAGCGATTCTAAAAGTGAATAGTATTCTTTTCCCAGTCATATGAGTTTATTGGTAGAATAATTCGTTGCGTGTTAGCAAAAAAAAACGCAAGCAACATTACCCAATAATACAATTGGATTAAATGACAGAAATCAAATGATTAACCATTTCAGCAATTTTTGTGACAAAAAGAAGAATTCAATTTGTGAAATAATTTTCACTCTACAATTTCTCATCAGAACTAATTAAAATACTGTACATTTTTTCGCAGAACAAATGGAAGTTGCCCACATAATTTTCATAACTGTGATGGTTCTCATCCTGCTCAAGCCTAGCCCTCAGCAGGTCTTGTTGAGATCGCTAAGCACATCATTACGGCCTCTTTACTAGAATAATCTTGTGAACGTTCGTTAGCGGAGCCTACTTCCATTCGGCTCTGTTGCAGCCGGGCATTCACTCAAGAGATGCTACAAAAATCATGCCATTCAGTTCGTTGTTGAAGCAGGATTCTTCAAGTTATAATTAACGTTTGGCTATAGAATCGACAAACGACAAATACAACGTTGAAGCAGACGGAAACGGAAG